TAAATCTTCTTCATGTGTGGGAATGTTTAACAGAGACAGAAAACCACAATTTGTATTTTTACGAATGTCAAATAGTTTTCAGTCTTTAGAACAAGTTAGAACATAGACAATTTGGTCTGGTGCTCTTGCTCAGGGGCACAGTGGCAGGTTAGGGCACAGTAATAAACAAACTACCATGTATGTGACTAAATGTATCACAATGACGCAGTACCTGCACTCTGGATCAGACCTGAAACTATTGGGTTTATACGACAGTTTCCCCTCATCTAACCTGACTTCTCAGATCTGAGGTTCACCATTAACAGTGAGCAGAAACTGAAAGCTGAGGTAAAACAGAACTGAAAGACTCTGCGGTTCAGCCATGTTAGCTCTATTTTGTAAAAACATGACGCCCGCTGAGGAGAAGAACCACATGCAGACTTGCACTGCATCAGAAGAGGTTCATTTAAAACCTATGTAATAGGATCTGTCTGTTTCTGTCACATTAAACGTTGGGGAAACAGCTAATGATTTGTGGGGTCTGACAAATTGTCTCAACATAATGTGCCGCAACATGTTGGCTTTAGAAAGCAGCTTAAGTGCTGCTGAAAACGGCTTTATTGGCATCGTTCCTAATCTCAACCACTCGTGGGACAAGTTCAGATCAGGTTTTATTGCAACTGTACTGTTTTGTAAAGGATTCCTGTTCACCAACACCAGAGGCAACTAGAAAAACAATCAAACAGCCATTTTGTGCTGTGACAACAAAGTTGAACAATGCAGGGACAGGAAAGTACAAAGGGGTTATATCAAATTGGATAAACAGACAAAAAAGATCATCTTTTGTTGCAAACACCTGATTTCCTGTCACATTACCTGCCGTATGACGTGAGTGTCATTGTCGTCTTTCAGAGAGAAGATGGGGAAGTCAAACTCCTCATAGGCTAGGCCGTTTCCAAAAGGGTTCCACACTGTCACATTACAATGGGCCAAGGCTGGATCGTAGTCCTCCGAATACACGCCTGAGGGAGAAACACAGAGTGAAGCAGCTGTAACACTAAAACAGGGCCTCATGAGGCGTGTACTATGAGCAGATTTCAGAAGTCACGAAAATAAATTGAAGCTAAAAATTGTGTCGGTACCTAGTTCCCCATTTCTACAAGTGAGCCACATGAAAAATGTAATAATTTATGAACGAGGCTGATATGTATCTAAAGAGTTTATAAAAAAGTTTTTTTACCGCTGTTGACTTTTGCACATTTTATTCTTTGGTATTTATTAGTTTTTTCTTCTGTCTATTAGTTTCAATTCAGCCTATACAGTTGCAAAGTTGGTCTGGAAGCAAAAGTCACATTCATTTTCTCCAGAAACAATGTTAGATGGCACAGGCATGAAAATATCAGATATATTCTTTGATTAAATGTCTGTGTGCATAAAAACTTCTAGGGAGAAGGTAGCTACAACTCCCAAGGTACATTTCGGCAAGAAATACAATCTGCGACTTAAATAAGCTCCCTTTTGCATTGTTCCACAACTATGTTTTGAATATGCTGCAGCACCGATTCGTGCCTCTGACGTCTCATTACATAAACCTACAGCACTGTACATCAAATTGTTAAAGTAGAATTTCAAACTGAACCAACTACAGCTTTTCACTTTTATGAGTTGTGCCCTCTGAGGATCACAAAACCACAATTAACTTCTGTAACTGGTGTAATACCGAGGGACAAGTCTTAGCAGGCGAACCCCCACCCACCTGAGTTCTCGTTGGGACAGGTGGTGTGCGGGGAGAAGGCCTCAAGCGGGTTTGCGTTTGGCGCCACAACAACTACGCCAGCCACTCTCCTGGAGCCGTTCTTCAGCTTCATCATGATGGATCTGACAGGCAGACAGGTGGCACGGGGCAGTGGAAATGATACGGGTACAAATACAAGTCACACATGGGTTTGAAGTGTGGTTCAACTTTCCTGTCCTCAGGGTTAGACAATATATTGTACATTTGTGTTACTGACAGCTTATGGCGGACTGAGTTTTACCACCTTGTACTGATGGTATAACTTCTCTCCAATCTGCTACTCTAAATAAAAAACATGTTGTATAATTGAAAGAAATGCTGAGGACTCACTGAATTACTGGACACTTATCGTCACTATAACTTTATTGATATATAACATGTGGTAATAAAGATTCAGAGTGAGAAGACAGAAAGGGAGAGGCCCTTTACTCTCATTAAGAACTACTGTAGCTACTCCCTCTGCAGGGTGAGACGTGTTCACTGTACCTGGTAAAGAGCGGGGACTCCAGGATAACCAGATAAGGAGGATTGGGACCAGACTTCAGGACCCAGTCCAGATTATCCTCTGATTCGAGCACATGGAGCACGCCCACATTTCCTGACAAAGAGGCTGAAATCCCAAAGATGAGATTAAATATTAACATCAGTGAAATAAGGTACAACAGCAGTACTACATAAAACATGTCTTTAAAGCTTATTTATCAATGTGTGTCCACCAGGCCTTCTTCTCCTTTACTAAAAGGTTCAGCTATTACGTTCTGACGCAACAAAGACTATTTTGCTGCTGATGGGGCTTTTGTGGTATTGTGACAGCTTTTGATAATCAGATATTACTCAGAAGAAAGTGCCTGATTTATCTGCAGCTTGTGTGCTTTTCATCTTCTTTAAAAAGTCAGTTCTGCAGCTTTGAGGGTCAGAAACGATTTGCAGTTTCAAAACGTCAAAACTCCCTGAAGCAACCACACAGCGTTAGCAGATTTATAGTCAGTATTTTACAACAAAAACAAAGTGAAAGAAAGACACTCAGATACCTTGAGGACACACACTCTCTGTTTACGATGTGCAAACTGTAACAAGTATTTTTTTTACTTGTCACGAGTGACCCAGATACATCTTGGACTCTGGAGACAAACACTAAGCATCACTTTAATCTGTTGCTCTACTCACACTGGCAGCCTATTTGATGTGTTGCGTTGAGCAGTCGCACACAAGGGACCGTGTAATTGAGATGCACATAGATCTTCTTTTCCACTGAATTACCGCCGACACCTGCAAGGGAAAAAGCGCTTTAATAACAGCACGAGTGGCAATATGACTTTAGCTTTTACCAAGACAACATAATAAAGAGAGAAAATCTGTATTTCTGCCACAAATTTGTGGGGTTTTAAATATTCAGAGAACCTAAAAGGAAAGTTACATCCTTTATCTCTCACTAGTAAAAACACATTCATAGTGTTATTAGACTTGAGACTGGAAGATGTGGCATCTAAGATCTACATTTAGTTGCCAGTTTAAGGTTTGTAGTTTTTAGGTACACCTAAAACTAATGAAACAAACTAAGGTAACATGGGAAAAGTAGGGAGCAGCAGGGCTATTGAATATAATAACAAGGGTACCTTATAGATGTACTGAATCGGCTATATGATCACTTTAGAGGATGTAGTTTGTGGTGCTGTTGAACTGTACAGATATATGTATACAGACAGGATTATTTAACCTACCCTCACTGTTATAAATGGGGTGGACAAAATATTAATATATATATTTGTTTCAGTTAAGAGTTTCAGTGTATAATTTTAAATGCTTTCACTTTTTGTTTGTTCAACAAACCTGGACCATGTAGGAAATAAGTCTTATAGCTTCATTCCTCGAATTAAATACATTTCATATCCACCTTGTCTAAAGAGAAATCACAGGTATGTCCTTTCAAAGTGGTGGCAGTTTAATTCAGGCCAATACACTTACTTTGTATACTATAGGTTCAGACACTTATAACTTTCTTGCAAGAGGCCAACATGCAGGGTTTTTAATAGAAAATGAGCTTTTCGGTTTGGTTCAGCTGTTGGTCCCACAAGCTTTTTCCTCTCAGAGAAAACAGCACAAACGTCAATGTAAACTAAAAAACCCCGTTTTAATTCAAACAAAGCGCAATTTTTATCGGATCACCTGTACGCCGAATTCACCAGGACAACCTAAAGATTAAAAAAAGTGACTTCCCTTGTGCTTTCACCTGCTTTGTGTTTACGGCGACCACCAAACAAACATTAGACTACAAATAATTGAATGTAATTTGGCGTGATGTGGACGTTCTAGCGTTGAACCCCCGCCCCCGCCGCCCCCCGCCCCCGGAGCTCCGGGCGGCCGCAGCGGGGGGAATCACGAGCAGTCACGCTGAGTTGCTCACACCAGGCGGGGAAGCTCAATCTGTGACTACCGCTGAGAAAAGTCGTCGAAAACACTTAATAAAAACAGATACGTGGTTATTTTCCTCAACTTCAACAGGGTGGAAACGGGGCGTAGAAGTGCTACAACGCCGAATCCCATTGTCACAACTTGTATGAGTAAATAAAATAAAATAAAATAAAAAAAAAGATTAGAAGCCTAACGCTGACTTAGCTTAGCATTCGGCTAGCTGAGCCCACAAAGAACTCAATGGAGCCAACCGCCGGAAACAGAAACGCACTCGGCTCACTAACAAACGGCGAGGACGACGCAAGTTGAACACAGCTGGGGGGAAACAACAATAACTTACCGATGAAGAGCGAACAAAGTATTAAATTAAGAATCCATTTGCTCGACAGTAAATCCATCTTCCTGGTTTGACAAAAGCAGAACACAACAGTGAGTGTTGACATGGAAAACGTCCGGGTTCCGCTGTTTGGTTCCGGTCTCCTGTCAAAATGGCAGCTCGGAATCTCTGCAACGGGACTCATTAAAGTTTTTATATATTTTATTTTAAATTATCTTCACGTCCGGTAAAACAAACGGAAATGTAATTAACTTTTTTTTTTTTAAATCTCCTCCTAAACACTTTTATTATTTTTAATTAAAAAAAAAAAAAAAGACCAGTGCAATCACAACCCAGGAGTGACTCAACTCCATTTACACCCGTGATGACTCAACCTTGTAGTGCACTTTGGATATTCTTTAACCACTTTATACAACCATCCTCTTTCTATAGCAGTGCCCACACACACCACATCAAAAAGACACACCAGACCTTGGATTTCCTTTGATAAACAGCCATTTTATTATTTCCTTCTTCCCTCCTCCTCCTCTTCCTCCTCCTCCAGATACACAGAGCAGTGCTGCTAACTTTGAATTATTCATCTCATACAAGTCAGAAAAGAGACATCATTTCAGGTTTACAGCTCTAATAAAGCCACAGCACAAAGATGACGCAGCAGCACTGACGAGAAAAAGCTTTTTTTTTTTTGCAGGATAGGTGATGTATGGGGAATAAAGATAGTTAGAAAGGATTAAAGAGGTTCAACATCACGGTGAGCAAACATATAGATCTTTTCATTTGTCGTGTTAATAATTGTATTATTTCTACAGAGTAAGTGTGGATGTGTTTCTCCGAACAGATTGTTCTCTTTCTCTTGGTCTCGTCATCTTCACCTCTTCTCCTCTTAACGGAACTGAAGTGGACTCACACGCAGACCGATCACATCCTTCCCGATCTCCGTCACCTGGACAATAAGGTCAAAAGGAGGGTTAAAAGGGGAAACGATGAAGAATATAACCACTACTTCTTCTTCTTTCTAGGTTTTGCCTTTTTAATAAATAGTGACGAGATTTACAAACATGTCGGAAATATGTGAATAAATTATGGTTTTCAGAACTGATCCACAAACACCATCCAACTTGAATAAATGTCGGTATTCTACAAATATTAAGTGAATTAAATCAGTAACATTTGCTTTTTAAATTGTGCATTTGTCACTGCTATTCAGATTTTAAAAGTTTCCTCGTTATAAAAGTACAATATAAAAGCAAAGAGCCTTTCGGGTGGACTGGATTTGTACATGGCTGCCCCTGGTGCCGACCTACCTGTGTGACCCTGCAGATCTGGCCTTTGTAGGTTGGGCAGTAGCAGGCTCCAGACAGAGGGCACTTCTCAACAGGGCGTCCACGGTACAGAGGGACGAAGGAGGCGGCGCACAGGTCAAATGGATTGTGGGGGTCGTAGTTCAACTGGTGGGCATCTGTCAGGGTCTTCTCACAGGCTGCCAAAATCTTGCGGGTCTGAATGGTAGGGAGATATTTCACATCGTGGTAAGAGATGAGACAAGAGTATAGTCACCATCCGTTTTAAAACTGGAAACTTTAAATGGGAACCAACCTGCTGTGCGACGTTTGGATTTGGCCCCAGCTCGAGCAGGCGTCGCGCAAAGCCTGCAGCCATCTTGAAGTTGCGCAGTTTGAAGAAGAGGTTCAGAGCTGTGCGCAACACCAGCACCATGTGGACTGGTTGGAGATTACAGTGGGTGAAATAAGCAGCCATCTGTAAGGTGAAAAAAAAAAAAAAACATACGTAAGTAAATTAGGCTTAGGAATGAAACAGAAGTATGAATAAGGACGGTCAGTCTACAACGACAGCTTTGATCGGATATTTACCTCACACAGCCTCTTCTGCTCTTCCAGTGTGTCTTTAGGCAACTTCTTCCTTTCGGTCTCCATGGTCAATCCCACGATGTACTCTCTGCAAATTGTGATCAGCTGCTGAGCCTGAAACAAACAAACACAGATCCCAATCACACAGGTGACCCTTACACGTCTGTAGCTGTGTGTGAACTATATTATTTTATTTGAAAGTCATATGCACAATGAGCAGTCTGATTGTAATTTATTGCCGTTTTGGTGCTCACCTCTGCAATCTCCTGCTTGTTGTCAACCACCAGCAGAGGAACAGACAGCAGGATGGCCCTGAAGCGCTCTACAGCTTCCTCAAACCGCCCGGCCGTGGTCAGCTGGTAGCACTGCTGCAGGCGGGCGATGAGGTCAGAGAGGCGCAGGCCCACAGCAGGAAGTCCTTGCTTTGCCCCACAGTCCTAAAAAAAAATTATATAATTATTTGTATAAATGTGATTAGAAACAGAAAACATGATGTGATTCTTATTAGATGACAAAAAAACTAACAGCTGTACCTTCCAGTTCCTCTGGGGATGGCTGCGCAGGCAGGGAAGGGAAGGCAGCCCCAGGTAACAGGTGCGGCCTCTGGACAGCGTCTGCATGAACAGCGACTTGTAGGGTTCGAAGCTCACAACTCCCACCTGGTCGTGAAGCAACTGTGATACGGAAGGGGGAACAGTGAATTCCACTATAATGCTTGAATGAACATTTCAACACAAAAAACAAACAAAACATTTTTTTAAAATTCATATCAAAGTGTACATACTCTCATCGCAGTTTCGTAAGAGCCAGCCAGGATGTGGTCGACTGGCAGCTGGGAGTTGTTGCACCACATCTGCGTAGGACTCATGCCCTTGGTGGGTGGGACGAAGAAGCCGTCCTCTGCTCCTCCACCTCCACCAGCCGGTATGTCCTGATGGTTGGGGGTAACAAAAGCTGAGTTTGACACCTTAAATATTGCTTTCAACATCTATCAACACTATTCTTGTTAACATGTTAATCCTATTTTATTGATTGGATTTATATTGATGTAGCTCCTCTCACCAGCTCTGGAGGAAGGTCCAGGTCTTCTTCCACATCCCAGCCTCCTCCTTCCTCTTTCACAGCTCCTTCCTCCCCAAATGTTTCCTGGGCCTCCATGAAGCCATCTGAGAAACAGAGAAAGATGAACGTGACCCAATCTGCTCACTGAAAAGTCAGGTTTAAAATATTCTTTAGTCGCTGGATTTACCTTCATCCAGCTGTAGCTCAGCATCGTCTCCCCAGCCCTCGCCTCCTGGGGCATCCATGTCCTGGTCGGCAGCCATCTGACCTGCCTTCCCTACAACACCATGTTATTTTTACTCATTTGTGCATAATAGCTATTGTAAAATAATGTGTATGTACTGTATTTACATGTGTACAGTGTATGTATGTGTGCATCTGATGACTCACCCTTCGCTGCAATGGCTCCCTCAAAGAAGCCCTTTGATACAGTGAGCAGAGGCCAGTTAGTGTCCAGAGGGTTGATGGGTGGAGAAGGTTGCAGCAGCTGGGCATTGGGATCAACCTCTGGCACCTACAAGACACAAGAACACTATTTTATTTGTTTTTCCACTAACACTAGAGTGATTTTATTGTCTGTGGTGCACCTGAATTGTAAAAACACATTTAAAAAGCAGGTAAAAATGCTGCGCTACACTGAAAAGAACATATCGAGTGCACATCTTCTGCTTTAGACTGCATGTTACGGTTGTCCATGTTACATGTATGAGGGCACAGAGAATGTTTTCTCAACGCACCGTCTCCTTTTCTGGGTCAAAGGTCTCCTTCAGCGCCTCAGCCTCTTCATCCAGCCCATGAGTGGCTGCAGTCAGGTAAGCCAGAGACTCTGGAAACAGGCACACAAACAGTTACACGTGATGGCTTTTTGTTCCAGTGTCAGCCATTTAGGGGCAGGGCAGTAATTGCTAAACAGTGAGGTGGACATCAGAGCTGATGAATGCAGGTAACAGGTGTGGGATGGGGTTGATGCTTGAACTCACTCTGTCCACAGTTCTTCAGGATGCGGACCCTCTCACTGACATCGCCCAGGTAGAGAGCTGCCTGGTAGTGACCGCTCATGTCCTTCCTGATCTCAGCTGCAAACAGAGAATACACAGATATTGGTTAACTCAAACCTCAAACCAAATCATCACATCTTTGGTACAGTAAAAAAAAGTCCTTTAACAAAAAGGATCTCTCACCGATCTTCATCATCTTGCGCAGTTTAGCCAGGTTGCCAGTGATGAGGTAGAGGAAGGTGAGCTTGTCAAAGTTCTTGGTCCTCTGGTAGCACATTTCCACGACCTGGTGGTGACCCTGCAGCAGTGCTGCTTCACCCAAACGCTCCCAGCAGCTGCGCTCATCCAGGGCCTTGGCGGCCTCCAGAGCCACCTGGAAATATAGAGAAAGTGAGTAAAAAAAAATAAAAAATTCAAGAATCCAAACCAGAGTGTGATGAGCTTAACTTGTTATAGAGTAAACTACAGCAGCAGCTGTATCCCGCAGCAGCTCACCTCAATGTTTCCACACTCTAGAGCCAGACTAAAGCGCGTCTTCTCATCTTTGACAAAGTGCAGAGCCACCTCAGGGTAGCCCTTCTTCTGCAGGTAGGCAATAATGGACTGACCCACCAGCTTGGCATTACGCACCATGTGGAGCACCTGGAAAAATCAAAGAAAATTAAGAAATTGAGATCACAGATGCAATATCTTTCCGATCCACGTTCGGAAGCAGGTACAGTATACTCCCAATCACTCATTCACAAAAACACCACGGGCTAACCTCATCATATTTGCGGTTGACCAGGGCCAGCTTGAAGCGGTACTCTGTGGGGTCGATGGTGAGGACACGCGGCCGGCACTCCCTGTCCAGGCAATAAACACTGTTTCCTCTCACACGGGTCACATAGATGGGCAGGTCCAGGGTCCTGATGATGCCATGATCACTACAGGGAGACACAATGAAAGTAGCATGTTAGATGTTGATGTGTACGGCATTTTGCTTTTCTAACTGGAAAACATTTAAATCTGATGTTGCAGGCTTCGTTGTTTGGGAAACAGTGAATAGAAAACTTTGTTTTTCATATAAATCTGACATTAAATGTGTGTAAAGAATATATATATTATTTTTAAAGTTAAAACTTTTCTTCTAAAGAAAACATACTGTATAACATTCTTGTGAACTTGTTGTCTAGCATGTTCAACAAGAATTTACATATCCTGTGCTGCTGGTTACTTTGCACTGTAAGAGGTGCTTTTATATTTGAAATCAGGTCAGTGGGAAACTGAGCGGAAAATACGTGCCCAACACAAGACTGGCACATTCATCTACACTGCCAGTAATTACAGCACTATATCAGCAAAATCTTGTTCTGTTCCACACATCTCGCTTTCTGATAAGAGTTAAACTAACAGGTGAGTGTTTTTGATCTGCCGCTGTAGGCTGTACAAAGTGGAGGCAGTTTACCCGCCCGATAACGGACACGAACGCTGTTTTTTTTAAAAGCACTCCTACCCAGAGGTGAGGGCGTATTTGATGTGGTTGGAGGTGGTGTAGATGAAGACTCCACTCTCGTCCCAGGCTCCACTCTTCACTCTGATGTTCTCATGAATGTTGCACAGACTCTCCAGCTTACGGTTGCAGATCATGATGGCTGAGGGATGAAAAAGGCAGCAAAAAAAAAAGATTTAGGCTCTGTGTTTTTGTTGTTCTTTTCACAAGAGATAAATGTCAGGTTTAAACCACTGGTGTTCAACAAAATACTGGCATTAATGGTCTTGTTTGAACCAGTATACATTTCAAGTCAAATTAATTTAGCTGTATTAAAGCCTTTTATAAACCGCTTAATGGTGCTCACTTTGATGCAGAAAAATTAAATGTGTGCATGTCCATTTTTCTCTACTGTGGTAAGATTGTGTGGTTTGTTAGTGGATTACCATTACGCCCTAAAAAATATTGATGATAAGCATGGGTGAAATCAAAATAAGTCTCAGTGATGTTTCCAAGCCTGAGCCCTGGCAGCACAAACATGTTTTCGAGGACAAAAGATAAAGATGGTGTGACTCTGTGTTAAGTATCCTTGTCTGTACTCGCAGATATTCAATCTTATCTACCCACCATGTTTAGCCAGCAGAGCCACGTGGCTGGTGTCGGCACTCCACACCACGTACTTGACCTTGCCGATCTTCACAGTGGCCAGAGAGCGTTTCTGCTGCACATCAAACAGCGTGACGCCATCAGCATCGCGCAGCAGCAGTGAGCCCGTCCCGGCGTAGAAGATTTCCTCGCAGCTCGGCACCTGAACTTTCTTCACAATTTCATTCTTCAGGTTCTTAATCAGCAGCTACAGAAGGACAGAGAAATTATCATTTCAATTGACAAAGATGCAGAGTGCCGATATAAAGATTGAAAGACATTTTAAAACTAGAACTTTTTGACTATAACTACATAAAAAAAGAATACCTAAAATATAATAGTAGTTAAGTGACTTAAATCTTTGGTTGATCAATTCTAACTTTTACTGACTGAATCCCTAAAATTAGCTAATTTTTAATAACAAAAACTGTTTTGCCTCTTCAAAACTAGTATCTATTTTTGTAAATCACACACCACAACTATTCTCCATAATAATTACTATAAAAATATGGATGGTAGAACATTTTGTCACAGATATTTCCAAATTGAACTGAGAATTTTTACAACTTTTCAAGATGAATTCATCCTCTCTTTCTTTCTTGAAACAATTCTTTACTTTCTAGACCTGCAAATGGACTTACAGAGTGCATGCGGTCCAGGACAGCAAATCTGTTCCTGGCCACCCAGACTGCAGTGAGACCAGAGGACCTCTTCCCTTCAGGTGCTGTGAAAAACACAGATTCTGTTATTGTAGTCACTATGTACAGTATGTTTAAAGGGATCCTTCCTCTTGGCATCCAATCAACAACTTAAAGAGTGTCACAAAGTACAAGCAATGATACGGTTTTTCTTTACCATCAGGGTTCTGAGAGTCACTTTCTTTGGGAATAGAGTACAGGTCATAGGTGCTGTTCTCCAGGTTGGTTGCCCTCTGCAGGATGTAAAGAGCGTTACATAAAATATATGAAAAACAATAAACTTAAGTGTCATTTAGGTGTGTTTTTATTAAGAGATACTTACAGTGCAGAGCAGGACAGCGTTCTCGGCAGGGTTGTAAGACATGCTGAACACTGGGAACTTAGACCCACTAGGACAAGATAATATAAATAACACAGCATGTTACACGCTAGTATTCAATTACTTAAACAAAATCCTTAGAATGAGGGTGAGGTTTGGTTGCACTGCACAACCGCAAGAAGTGACCTACCTGCGGAGCTGCATGACGGCGGTGTCCTTGCTGCTGTTGAAGTCCAGCTGACGGAGGAAGCGGTCCTTGACGTAGTATAGCATGTTGCCGTGCACGGCGTATGCTGGACGCTCGCGCTCCAGCTTGAACACAATCATGCCGCTGTCATGACCTAAAGGACAGAAACACACACATTTTAACTGTAGCAACTTTGGAGTTTTTGAGGCAGTATGATCAGGAACCTTTCACTAACTCGAACACTAGACTCATGAACTGGATATTTTGAACTTTTGCCTTTAAATGTGTACAGAGGCAGACCAGTGTCACCACCTACCAGCAGCAAACAGGTTGAGGTTTGGGTGAGCCCCCAGCACCCAGAAACGATCATGGTCCCTGCGGAAGGTCTGCACTCCGGTCCTCTTGGACATATCCCACACCCGGATGCTCTTGTCCTCAGAGTTGGAAAGGATGAGCTCCTGGCGCGGGTGGAAGACGGCACAGGACACGTTGTTGTAGTGACCGCGGCACGTATCCAGCTCCCATGCCTTCGATTCTGGAGACAGAGATATAGAAGAAAGTTGGAAAAGGGAGAAAGAGACAGGCCATACTGAGCGAAAAGTCTAATTTCAGTTAACATTTACATTGATAATAGACCCTTGGCTTTTATTTTTTAACATAGTAAGTGACAAAAAACGAAATCCGAAAATGTCAACCGGGCTCAGTTATGATGGACACTGGGCAGCAGATTGTTGACGAACGTTAGTGACTTCTGAATCACTTACCATTCATTCTCCAGATCTTAACCTGCCTGTCATCGGCTCCAGACACTATGAGAGGCATGCTGGGGTGGAAGGCAGCCCAGTTGACCCCCCGGTCGTGACCCTGGACACAGACACATAAATCACATTACACAAGCCCAAGTGAAAATCCATCAGCTGTGCCAGCACTGAGGCCGAGGAGTGAAGGCTTTCTGAACATTAAGACACAGGCTGCCCTCTCTGAGTGTAACTGTGCCTGGTTGTGTCCCCATTTTCCATTGCTTTCACTGGATGACACACCGCTGTTATTAATGTTTAAACCCAACCCAGGCGAGGTCATTTTATTTCCTTGGGTAGGACATTTCTGGACCTCGAGGAGTAATAACTCAGGACTCAAAAATACACACAAGAATGACGTAATATAGAGAGAGATTCAGCCCCAAAACTAATTTAGTTGGTATTTTCCATGAACAGGATGAAACTGTCAGTGACAATTTGGAAAATTTCTTCAGAACGCTAAGCGTGTTTCTCTTTGGTTTTTCAGCAGACACGACTACTATTGACACTAACGACTCCCTGTCGACTCCCGCCCCTTACACAGTGAATTTCAGCTTCTTCCTTCTGGATTGGAGGTTTATTGTCCCAAGACGTAGAACAAAGCGGTATAAAAATTTCTTTCTATCATTCAAATTAACAAGTTGTAGCAACGTGGCACAGACTACTTGTTTAACCTGCTGTTTTACCTTATTTATCTAGTGTTTTATTATTGTTCTCTCTTTGTGAGTCACATTGTCATTTATCATGTTTGTCTATTGTCTGAGTTGTTTGTCATTTTTATAATTATGTCAAGAGGAATACCTTGTCTTCTACTGCAAACCAAGTCTACCTCATTTTACCACTATTAGTGGTATTGTTACAGAGTCAGAGAAAAGACATCATGAGCAGGCGATTTTCTGTTGCTCACCTATCAAAGTAAAAGGCTGACTCACTCAAACAACGACATATCAGACACAGCAAGAAAATAAACCGAATGCACTGAATCATACACGTGAAGGTCACTGCTCACCTCGAGGACATGCTTGACAACAGCATCCGAGGCACCGAACAAGTCAACGCCAGAGATGCCGCGCACCTCCGTCTCCACGGCGCCTGGAGACAGGTTCTTCTTCCTCAGACCTGGAACCAACATTCAGGGCATCGCGTGCAAGGAAGGAGCCATATTCATGTTACACAAGGCCACAAACACAGTACAGGGGAGGAGGAAGGGGAAAAATGTAAAACAAAACACAATTTGTTAAAATAATTAAATATGAAGTAATATCACAGGAGAAGAGAGACAACAGAGGGAATGAGAGGGAGAACTGTTGGACTACTGAACACACACAAGGTCAAAAACACACCAACACAACCTCTGCTCTCTCATTCCACACCGACTTGAGTCTGGAAACAATCATGGCTGTGACAGCACTGTTGATTGGGTTAATCAATCACTCACATACAGATGAAAATCACCATTACTCATGATTTGATTGGACAGCAGTGGAAGACAGTGATTACCTCCCAGACTCAAATGAGATCAGGAAAAAATAAATGATTGAGAAAACACAGCTCGCGTTCATAATTTCTGCCCGTTAGAACAATGTGGTGAACAGATAGTTCAACAGCATGAAGAGATGATACAGGGGGGGGAGAAATGGCACTAGGAACCCATGTGCATGTGTGGATGTTTCCAGGGAGAGCATGGGATAAGGAGGACGCAGGGTGCGTGTGGACTTGGCTGATGGGGATGGGGTGGGTGGTGCTTGGCGTTGTAAAGGTGTGCTCTGATGGGGCATTGGATGTCAGGAAAATGAGGCGGCTCATACATGTTTCTGCACAGCTGTTTGAGTCACATGCAGAGTTAACAGCATCTGACATGTCACAGTTTTGGGTTAGGAATGAAGATGGTAATAGAATATAAATATAGCAATATAAACACACGTTGTATGTTTCATGTTAAATTTTGAGTAGTAGAGCCAGCCGTGTAAATATCATGCCGGGGGGAGAATAAAAACATCTTAAAATTAGTACTGAGGAAGTGAAAGTTTGTAAAAGATACACTTTCAAACATGTTAGTAGTTATGGATGCATTTCTTGATGCATTATAAATCAAGAATATGGTAAGATAGCAGTATGGGAAGCAGTATGGACTTCCTATAATGACAGTATGAGTGCAGTCAGGCTAAATGTGGAGGCCGTGCATGTAACAAGGGTTCAAAAGTCTACGCCCTGCTATGACGCCGTATGACCTAAGAGCTCATTAAAACTGTACGTATAAATGCAATCATGCTCAACGCTGGAAAATGTGAAAGCAAATAAAGGAAAAACAGACAGGAGAAACAGTTCCAGAGCAATCTTAAGCATGTTCACATGTTAGAAAGTGACAGTAGGTGTGAGCCAGTTAGTGGGAAGACAAGAAACAAGAAGCAAGAAACACCGACAACAAAGATTTTAAGAGCATGCAGAGGCACAGAAACACCTCTCTCGTTTCCTATTTGACTCTACATCCTACATCTCTATGATCTTCATTTACTTCATTCAGCACACGTTTGTATAGTGCTGTATTTAATAACAAATACCGCACTATAAATGTGTTCTGACAATACATCTATTCCCTGTCAGTCTTTCCTGAAATGAGAGGTGTTTCTGCAAACAGCCCACAGAGATTTGTCCTCTACAAGTAGGAGAGGAAGAAGAGGCTGTGCAGGACTTGATTCTTGATCCGCTTCCTGCTTCTTCCTCATCCTTAATACCACACTGCCCTCCCACCCTTTCCTCAACCCAGCCCACTGTCCTCTGGTCTGCCATCCCCCAGGCCCTCACCGGAAATATCCCACACTCGCACGGTCTGGTCCAGACTGGCGGACACCACCAGGTCCTCAGATGGGTGGAACTGGGCGCACATCACATAGTGGTTATGGCCGGTCAGCACACTGAGGATGAAGAGGAAAAGGAGGGACATAGTCAGATATTTTAGGTCACAGATCCTCTTAATATTTTCCATCAGGACAATAATGATCATGCTGACCCTGAGATTCTGTTAAGCAGTGGTTTGCGGTGGTTGCATGACAACAAATCTAAGTAAATCCTCAATGCTAAATTACTTTGTATAACTATAACTAACTTTTTTAAACTCGTGTGTTTTGGTTGAAAAATAAAATAAAAAAAATACAGCATGTTTTACCAGACACAAGTTCTGGACTGCCAGTTCCAGATGCGAATAGTTTGATCATCTGAGGCGCTCAGAATCCACGGGTAATCCTACAGAAAGGGAAATTATTATACTATATACATTCATTCGTTTCAGATTCACGTTTTTATACGGACGACAAGACACCAAGTCCTTGTCACTCTGAACCTTGAAACCAGAGATTAAAATAGCGATTTTAACAACTCACATGGTGGAAGAAGGTGGTTCTGATGTAGTCGAGGTGTCCAAGGAGAGTGAAGAGGCAGCGTCTCAGCTTATAGTTCCACACCTGATAATACAAAATAGGAATATTTACTACACATATATATATATATTTATATACACGTATAGATGTAATCTCATACAATAGATGTTTAAATCCACAAACCAGCACCATATAATGTAAACACTTGAACTTTCGACACTTCTACGAGGCAAAATGACCCTCACCTTGATTTTGTAGTCATCTCCACCAGACACAAACAGAGGCTGCTGCTTGTGGAAATCAATACCTCTGACGGGGCCTGTTGATCGAGACACATCAGTGACGGATCAGTCATCAATAGGGGAGGAATAACACCAATAACAACATGTTTACACCGGCCAGATCACTGCCTCACCGTCATGCTCATCAAACTTATCGATCAGCGTGCACATCCGATAGTCCCACAGCTGGATGACTCCGTTGTGCAAACTTGCAAGCACCCACGGCCTCTTGGGATGGAAACTCAGGCCTGAAACAGAAGATAATGTCCGCCGATGAGAAGTCAGCTTTTTTTGTTTTACACATTAGCAACGAGGCAACCATTTCTGATGGGGCAAGTTCAACAGTGCAGTTTGTTCCGCTGGTTAGAGAGCTAAAAAAAAAAAAAGGTACAAACAGGGGGTGTTCAACATCACTTAAACACAATACGTGACACAGATTCATTCATTCACACTTTAAGATGATAAATAACTGAACCCGGAGGGAGGGTGTAACGTTAGCTCCCATGCTAACCGCAGCTAGCTCTCTCTCTCTCTCTCACCTTTCACACGGGCCGACTTCGTCTCAAATTTTGTCAACATCGTCGCCGGACAGTAGCTCGGGTACTTATTGTGATGCCGTGATACAGGACAAGTTCCCCACGACGGGTGAGAGCACCTCAGATAGCGCGGACAGGTGAGCTCGTCTTTAGCTGAGTCTCCTTTTCTTTCCCCCTGACACGTAGCTCGTTTTGTCTTCCGGTTGGGAACAATAAAGTTGACGGTTGACGTAAAAAGCTCCACGGCGACGGCGGCTAGAGATACGACGCATAGAGCGGGACTGACGCAGAGGGCTGACTGTAGAGCGCGAACTGTGCTCGCAGTACTGATCTATGATAGTGTATTTCTGTGCTGGACTTTGTAAATAAAGGAGCCTTTAATAACATTATCTTTAATTTATATAAAGATTATATAATTAACATTTTCTCTTATTAAGGGACCGTTTTTCTATTATTGAGTAAACTGGCGACCCCCTGACTAAGTTACATATTTAATGGGAATTTTAATATTATATTAAATGCATAATAATAATAATAATAATAATAATAATAATAATAATAATAATAATAATAATAATAAACTGTACAATGAACCCAAATAGTGAACATTATCATAATCATAACATAATTATCTTTTAAAACAATTCTGACAAATTTTGTTTATTTATTCTGACAATCATACATCCTTAATATGCTTCTAATTTTTTTTTAAAATAAATTCAGTGTTTTCTTTTCCCCTTACACTTGGCTATTGTTATTATTATTATTGCTATTAGCTCTTTGAGGCTGTCTTTGAGACCTTTTTTTTCTATCATTTAGTAAATAGACAATCACTGACTACATATTTTAAGATTATTTCATATTATATTAAAAAACTGTAACTGAGTGATAATAATAGTGAATTCAATAACAGCCAATATTTGTGTAGAAGGAGCAGATTATTTCCTGTTCGGTGAACTTTCTATACAGTTTTCTGTCTTGTTGAGGAATCTCTGCATTTCAAAAAACTCATTCCTCGCATGTTCTTTTAATGAAGCGATAGGAGAAGGATTTAGTTTACTCAATAATCAGCTTTATTCTTAACACCAGTATATTGTACAAAAGTAACAGAGCTCTGGGTTCAACTACGGTTAACCTGACATGCACAAGGTCTGCCAGTTCATGAAGTCTGAGCAACCTCCTGTTCCTAACATCAGTTCTTATATTTCTGCAGATAACACACATAGCACAAGATGGTAGAACCTCCACCCCTCGTCCTCTTGGTATCTTGTCTCCACGGATGGTGTTGATGGGGTCGCCACAACCTGAGTTGTCTTTCACGACTGGAAGGAGTCCGTCCTGTGTTCTATCATTGTTTTTACGAGCTCCTGACACTGACCTCGGAGGTCGTGTTTACCACTATCTCTCCCAAAGGATGTCATGTTATATCTGCAACTACCCACACTCTTCTCCCTTATACTGTGCCTGCTATTCATATTCATTAGTAAGTTACAATTCTATAACACATCATACAAACATCTAATATTTATTACTTTATTTCTGTTATTAGTATTCCCTTAACAGCCCTTTATCAGTGTAAGCATAATTAATGTAAGCACCAGAAAACATATTTCTATTCTAGTTAATAATCATACAGGTAAATATATAGAGTATAAATCACAGAATATCGCAACAGTCTGTATTTAGTTTTTGTAATAATTTCTAAAAATCACACAGACTTATTTTGCATCTTTTTTTGACAGATTCATTGTTCTTATAGACAATTACTTTACTTTACATTCACTTTTCTTCACAGGAGTGAACCTAAATCCTACAGCTTCACGACCCCCTGTGAAGCTTTGGCGACCCCTAGTGGGGGTCCCGATCCCAGGTTGGGGAGTAGATTATGTGTTGTTAAGACTGAAAGCTCCACAGCAGCTACTCGTTGCACCTTGTGATGGGATTTTGCCTCCAACTGCTGTTTCCTGTAGCTGTTCCTACTCTGTTACTACCAGAGGGGAAAGTATTCAGATGTTGAGCATGAAAGCTCATCGCTGGCCTTGGAAAGAGCAGCTTGATACAGACACAGAGACAAAATAAAACATAAAAAATCTTAACTCAAGGTCCACTTACCTAGTTTCTTCTGGATCTCTTCATCAATCTGAACTGAACTGAAAAGGTGAACAAACTTAACACAAACAAAAGGCAAAAAATGAAAAACTGAAAGCTTAAAAAAAAGGTAGTAAATGGAGCTTCAGTTAAGATTTCCTAAGTATAGTATTTAGATCCTCTCAGTACAGTAAACTAAAATAATAGCCTGCTTTAAGTATCAAAATTAGAACTTACACAACAGATTGACCTCAAATAAAGTCAAATTCATGCTTTACTGCGTTAGAACCATTTTATAACGCACCAAATTTTAACTACACATATACTCATATATAAACCTTGTCACCTTGCATCATTTGTATTGCAACTTTCTAATATGTGTATAAATACTGTATATATATATATATATATATCATGTTTTATACTTTTACTCTGATTTATAAATTTATTCTGAACATACATTGCTTTCACTGCGCTCTGGTTTGATGCACACATGCACTTCAGATGTTTTATGTTTTAGTCTCGATGCTTTTATGTTCTTATGTTCTCTTTGATGTTTTTCCAGTTTTATATTCTGCTCTTACAGAAACGTTATTTCTTATTTCTAAAAATAAGCATGACACTTTATATACTATGGGATAGTTTAATCTAGAGCAAAAGCATCATATTTTCTAAACTGACCATAGTTTTTAAATGTAAAATCTTTAATCTGCAATGTAAGTAGTTGCTATAGTTGACTAATAATTATATAAGATAGCATAAAATATAAAATACTCAAGCACAAGTATCTCAAAAAAGCATATATACCTAATATTATATCAGTCATTAGCACTAAAGCAATGAGGGTTAATAATCCACAACAACAAAAAATGCATTATATCATTATTTTATTTCATATATTTACAAAAACAAAACAATAGTGTCAAATCACTGGTTGCATTTTTTTTTTTTTAAACGGTGCTCTGGGCATTTTTACGTCGGCCCTGAGAGTTGAATAGATTGAACCCAACCCCTCCCCATCTGGATGAAAACCACAGGCCTCAATGGGCCTCTACGGCAGCCTCCCCTCAGCTGCGTTTGAAGTAAATCTGATCTCTTTTCAGTGCACGGCTGACTGAATCCTTTCACAGCACCCCTTTATTATACAGTTATTGATGAGCTGATGGTCGTGTGACTTCTAGACCTCTCTCCGTGGTCACAGCGGTAAAATTTGTCAGCTGGCAATAGCAGCGGGCGAACAGTATCCGCTGGAGTAAACAAACCCACCAACCGCAGCCAAAATGTGCCAACATCAGGCTGTTGACGTCTCACTCTACAGTGCATCTACATGATTTATAGACATGTTTTGTCTCTCGCTTAAACATGTGATGTTTAGCACTCTTCCCTTCACCTTATTCCGGAGAGAACATAATGTACTTTTTAATGGCGGGTACAGGATATACGTACATGTTTTCACTCGCGAAAGTGTTTTTCTTTCCTAGCAAAGGGACTCCCCGTACCAAAAGAAAGCATCACTCTGCACATTACAAAACACTGGGAATCACAAGGGGAAGCACTTTGCACAGTAACTCTACACTATAATGATCACTGTAACCACAGCAAAGGCATCCGGGAATCAACATCTCAATCACTTAAAATAAACACCTGGGAAAGTAGGGGGGGCAACACTCGGGGGAATTAGTCGTTTTAAATTAGCTGGCTGAATTACAGTAGGTGCTGGGAACTTCACTTTATGAGAAGTGTTCAATCAATCCTCTAGTCTTTTTAATTCTTTAAATAATTAACAAATGTATACTCATTTTTTTTTTCTTTCTTCCAGTTTCCTTACGTTAATAGGCAGTTAATTCTCGTTAATGTAAATCCTGCACAGCCTGTACAGACAGAGACGTGTGTGTTAATAAAGTACCAAATAATTATCACTAACTTGGTGCAAACCGGGGATGATATTGCAAATTCACACCATTTTTAAAAGTATAACCGTAAGTGCTTAGCTGAATGACAAAATCTTTGCCTTGTGAGAAGGTCTAAAATAATAACTTAAAAAGTAATTTTTGCAAAAAGGCACTGTTTATACCCGTTAAGTGGTTTGATAGATTTTACCATGAGGCTAAACAGCGTTGTGAAAACAACATGGAGAACGGCAGTGATATTTTCTTTTTTAAAGGAATGCTGATAAAACTAAACCATGAAGGAGCTATGGTAACCGCTGACGAAGCAATGCAGAGATGTTCAAATGTTCTCAGTCGTGCGTTCGGTGATTTTAGACAGAAGAGAGTGTCTCTACATGTGTGGTTTCTGTTGGTTTTTCGTGCCTCCTGTTGTTTCTGCATCCACACACACACACCTTCTACCTGACGGAGAACAGTGTTGGCGGTCCGGTCCCACTCCTGTCTGACCTTTGCTTCACACTCCTTCACTCCCTGCCTGTCGCTGATGCACACACACACAGAGAGAGAGAGAGAGAGAGAGAGAGAGACCCCTCTGGCTGCAGTGCTGCTGATGGACCGCACCGCTACTTTATCACATGATGGAGCACTGCTCTGCCGCCCCGGCACCGGGGCCTCCTGGGAGGTTGAGGGACTCCATGTCAAAGTTAAAGCCTGGAGGCTGGATGGGAAGAAGAGGAAGAACACCGTCATTAATAAGCTGCGGTTGGGTGACATGACGCTATATGTTGAGAAACTACTATTGTCACCAGAGATTTTTCCATATTGTTTATACAGTAGTAGCTGTCTCTATAGTATCTCTGGGTGTATTAAGCTATCAAGAGCAATATGTTAAATATGACAAAGACTAGTTGATATTGGATGAATTTTGTACCAATATAATAAAAAACTTTTGTTAAATTAGGTATTTCATTTACTTGATTAGCAAAAAGAAACGTATGCCTGGTTATTTTATTCATTATTTTTGCACACATGCTGTTTGTTAACTGAGAGCAGTGGAAAACTTACCGCATCACCTGCTAGCTCTTTGGGTGGTTGGCCAAGGTCTTGCAGCTGTAAGTAAAAACATTATAATCTGTGAGGAGTTTTATTCTTAACAAGATTATTCCCATTAAACAATAGAAATACAACAGTTTATAAGCTATGATATCTGCATTATGTAAG